CTCTGTCGACATTATCTAATTCATTCGAGCGGTTTGCTCCTTGCTCTTACGAGCGGTTTGCTCCTTGTTCTGAAATTCTCTAGTTCCTTTCGAGCGGTTTGCTCCATGATTTCAATTTCCCAAGTCTCTTTCGAAATTCTCTAGTCTTTTGCGGGCGGTTCTGAATTCCCTAGTTCCTTTCGAGCGGTTTGCTCCTTCTTTTCTATTTCCTTACTCGCTTTCGAAATTCTCTAATCTCTTTCGAGCGGTTTGCTCTTTGTTCTGAAGTTCTGAAAGTCTCTAGTTCCTTTCGAACTGTCTGCGCCTTGTTTTGAGTTTATCAAGTCTCTTTCGAGCTTGTCCGGTCTCCTCCCAACGGTTTGCTCCTGCTTCTGAGATTTTTTAGCTCCTTTCGAACGGTTTGCTGATTGTTTTCAACTTCTCTAGTCCCTTTTCGAAATTTTCCAACCTCTTTCGAGCAGGTTGCTCCTTCTTCTGAGTTTCTCTACTCTCTTTCGACCGGTTTGCTCCTTGTTTTCAAGTTCTCCAATCTCTTTCAAGCGGTTTGCTCCTTGTTTTCTAATCCTCTAATCTCTTTCGAGCGGTTTGCTCCTTCTTCTGAAATTCTCTCGGGCTGCTCCTTTGTTATCAGTTCCTTTCGAGCGGTTTGCTCCTTGTTTTCAACTTCTCTAATCTCTTTCGAAATTCTTCTGAAACTTTATACTTCCCTTGGAGCGGTTTGTTCCTTGTTTTCAATTTCTCTAATCTTTTCGAACCTTTCTAGTCTCGTTCGAGCGGTTTGCTCCTTCTTCTGAGATCCTTTTGTTCGTTTCGAGTGGTTAGCTCCTTGATTTCAAACTCCTTAGTTTTTTTTCGAGATTCTCTAGTCCCTTTCCAGCGGTTTGCGCCTTCTTCTGAAATTCTCTAGTTCCTTTCGAGCGGTTTGCCGCCTGTTTTCCACTGCTCTAGTCTCTTTCGGAATTTTCTGGTTTTTTTCGAGCGTTTTGCTCTTTGTTCTGAAATTATCTACTTCCATCCGCGCGGTGTGCTTCTTGTTTTCAAAAGCTCAGTCTCTGGCGAAATTCTCTAGTCTCTTTTGAGCGGTTTGCTCCGTCTTCTGAATTTCACTAGTCTTTTTCGAAATTCGCTAAAATCTTTCGAGCGGTTTGCTCTTCTGAGTTTCTCAAGTTCCTTTCGAGCGGTCTCCCCCTTGCTTTCAATGTCTTTACTCTCTTTCGAGCGGTTTGCTCTTTGTTTTCAAACTCTCCAGTCCCAACAAAAATTTCCTAGTCTCTTTCGAGCGGTTTGTTCCTTCTTCAATTTCGCTAGTCTCTCTCGGAATTCTCTGGTTTTTGTCGAGCAGTTTGCTCCTTGTTCTCCAATTCTTCACTTACCTTGGAGCGGTTTACCTCTTGTTTTCAAATCCCTAGTCTCTGTCGAAACTCTCTAGTCTCCCTCGAGCGGTTCGCTCCTTCTTCTGAGATTCGCTAGTTCTCTTCGAGCGGTTTGCTCCTTGTTTCCAAATTCTCGGGTCTTTTTCGAACTTCTCTAGTCTCTTTCGAGCGGTTGGCTCCTTCTTCTGAAATTCTCTACTAGTTCCTTTCGAGCGGTTTGCGTCTTGTTTTCCACTGCTCTAGCCTCTTTCGAAATATTAATTCTCTGGTCTTTTTTGACCGTTTTGCTCTTTGCTCTGAAATTCTCTAATTCCTTCCGAGCGGTGTTGCTTCTTGTTATCAAACTCTCTAGTTTGTTTCGAAATGCTCTAGTCTCTTTCCAGCGGTTTGCTCCGTGTTCTGAAATTCTCGTACTTTTCGAGCGGTTTGCTCCTTGTTTTCAAATTCTCTAGTCGCTTTCGATATTCTCTAATCTTTTTCGAGCGGTTTGCCGTTTCTTCTGAAATTCTGTAGTTCCTTTCGAGCGGTTTGCTCCTTGATTTCAATTCCTCTAGTCTTTTTCGAAATTCTCTAGTCTCTTTCGGAGCGCCTTGCTGCTTGTTCCGAAGCTCTCAAGTTCTTTTCGAGCAGTTTGCAACTTGTTTTCAATTTCTCTAGTCTCTACCGAATTCGAAATTTTTCTAGTCTCTTTCAAGCGGTTAGCTCGTTCTTCTGAAATTCGCTAGCTCCTTTCGAGCAGTTTGCGTCTTGTTTTCCACTGCTCTAGCCTCTGTCGAAATATTAAATCTCTGGTATCTTTCGAGCTTTGCTCTTTGCTCTGAAATTCTTTAATTCCTTCCGAGCGGCGTGCTTCTTGTTTTCAAACTTTCCAACCTCTTTCGAGAGATTTGCTCCTTGTTCTGAAATTCTCTAGTACTTTTCGAGCGGTTTGCTCCCTGTTTTCAAATTCTCTAGTCGCTTTCGATATTCTCTAGTCTTTTTCGAGCGGTTCGCCGTTTCTTCTGAAATTCTGTAGTTCCTTTCAAGCGGTTTGCTCCTTGTTTTCAATTCCTCTAGTCTCTTTCGTGCGGCTTGCTGCTTGATAGGAAGCTTTCAAGTTCCTTTCGAGCGGTTTGCTGGTTGTTTTCAATTTCTGTAGTTTCTCTCGAAACTTTCCAGTTTCATTCAACCGGTTTGCTCCTTGTTCTGAAATTCTCTAGCTCCTTTCGAGCAGTGTGCGCCTTGTTGTCAAATTATCAAATCTCTGAAATGTCTTTCGAGCGGCTTGCTCCTTGTTCTGAAATTCTCTTGTTGCTATCGAGTGGTTTGCTCCTTGTTTGTGTTTGTTCATTTCTCTTTCGGGCGGTTTGCCCCTTTCTTCTGAAACTCTCTAGTTTCTTTCGAGCGGTTTGCTGTGTGTTTTCATTCTCTAGTCTCTTTCGAGCGGCTTGCTCGTTGTTCTGAAATTCTCTGATTCTTTTCGAACGTGCTCATGAATGCTCCTTGTTTTCAGATTCTCTCGTCTCTTTCGAAATTCTCTTGTTTCTTTCGAGCAGTTGGCTCCTTATTTTCTAATTCTTCAGCTTTCTTCCAAATTCCCTAGTATCTTTCTAGCGGATTGCTCCTTGCAAAGAATTTCTCTAGTTACTCTAGTTCCTTTCGAGCGATTTGCTCCTTGTTTTCCATTCCCTTACTCGCATTCCAAAGTCTCTAGCCTCTTTCGAGCGGTTTGCTCTTTGTTCTGAAGATCTCAAGTTCTGCCCGAGCGATTTGCTCCGTCTTTTCAGAGTCTCAAGTCTTTGTCGAAATTCTCTAGTATCTTTCGAGCGGTGTGCTCCTCCTTTTGGAAGGCTCTAGCCTCTTTCGTAATTCTCCAGTTTTTTTCGAGCGGTTTGCTCCTTCTGATACCTTCTAGTATTCTAGTTCCTGTCGAGCAGTCTGCTCTTTTCAAAATTTCAAATCTCTTTCGAGATTCTCTAGTTTCTTTCAAGCGGCTTGTTGTGTGTTTTCATTCGCTAGTCACTTGCGAGCGGTTTGCCCCTTGTTTTCAGATTCTCTAGTCTCTATCGAAATCCCCTTGTCTCTTTCGAGCTGTTTGCTCCTTGTCCTGAAATTCTCTAGTTCCGTGCGGGCGGTTTGCTCCTTGTTTTCAATTTCTCCAGTCTTATGAAAATGCCTTAGTCTTGTTCGAACGGTTTGCTTTTTGTTCTGAATTTATTTAGTTACTCCAGTTCCTTGCGAGCGGTTTGCTCGTTGTTTTCAATTTCTAGAATCTCTTCCGACAATATCTAGTCTCTTTCGAGCGGTTTGCTCCTTGTTCTGAAATTCCCTAGTTCCTTTCCAGCGGTTTCCTCCTTGCTTTCATTTCGCAAGTCTTTTTTCGAAATTCTCTAGTCTCAATCTCTAGTCTCTTTCGGGCAGTTTGCTCCTTGTTCTGAATTTCCCTAGTAAAAAAACCCTTGCATTGGAAAACCGAATTTAAAACCCCCCTACCCATGGGAGATTAAATCCAAAGCCAATCTCCCTCCATACCAGGACATGGTTCGATGTGGAATTAAGTTCGAAATTATGCCTTCGCCACCGTATATGACCTTAGAGCAATAAAATCGAATCTAAGCCCTCCAGCCGCGCACCTGGGCCACATACAGAAAAGGCAAAAAATCGTATTTAAATCCACATTGAATCTGAAATTCTACGATGATCATGACAACGTGACCCCACCAGGCGAGTAAAGATGCTGCCCGCTGCCGACTGATCCTGAAAAAGTTCGCTGCTGTCTGAAAGGGCTTTTCGGTAGCGTGAAGCAGTCAAACTTGTGCTCTTGACCCCTGGCCCTCCCGACCTCAGGACAAAGGGATGATCAATCGCCGGCGAGTCAGGGTCCTGAGCAGCTCGGTCACCAGAGGCAGTGCAGGACCTGCTAATCGTCTTTTACCCTGGAGGGATCACACCGTACGGCAACTGCACTCAAATGCTCGGAGAGGGCGAGACGAACAAGAAAGCCGGTCAGCCACGACTGCACGAATCCCCGCGCTCCGCTCCTCTGAGTAAATGTGGGAGAAGCAGAGGTTGGGGATAATGGCCGCGAGCTCCATCAGTGCCTGGGTGACATCGAGGGCACGGTCAAAGAATGCAGTTGCTGATTCACCGGTGGCACAGTGTCTGCGCAATAGACAAGTGTTTTGAGAAAAGCCCACGTTGAAGGGACTCTGTGGCCAGGCTGGACCTGAGACGAGGAGCGGAGCAACCAGGGAGCGGACCGACGAAACCTGCCACAGGCTGGCATTCTGACTCAAAACGCTCCATTCCTCTCCTGAGTATCTTCGCGTATTTCGTGAAACTCCTTCGGCTTCATGGAATGCCACCCAGACTGAAAGGCAAGATACATCAGCGACCGTGCCAGATCCCCAGTGCCTTAAATTAAATTAATGTTTTGACATCAACAAAACAAGCCAGAACTGGAAATGTAGCAGCGGTTCTCTATGATGATGGTGGCAAGCTAATTAGGGGATTGGATCCAGGATTTCGGGCTGGGGTGTTCGAACTTCGGTTGGGCATGGGTTCAGAATCCCACCCCTCCCTTTGTTGGAGGCAACTCGGGTCACCGAAATCAGAACATTCCCGTATTCGCATCTCTAATCAGCTTCTTCAGGTCAGCACGGCCATGACGAGGGTGCCCGACAACCCCCCGCCCCCACCCAAAGCCGGGAAGTCCCCTTCGGCCGGCGAGCCTGGACCCCATCCTGGCAGATTCCCGCAGCGGTTGGTCACGAAGCCGTTCGGACCAGTCGGATCCCAGAAGTGGCCGTTGGTCACCTTGAGCAGGAAACAGATGTCTGATCGCGCATTCACCGAGACCTACAGACTGGGAGGCCTTGAGGCAAGGCCGTTTGCCCGTGCGCCAGACTAGCAAATGCAGAGTAAACTGCACCGGCGTTGTCTGCATAGTGCTGTGAGGCGGCTAGGTTCACATTCAGCCCTCATTACAATCTCAGCCAAGGGGCATCGCCGAACACTGGCAGATTGGCATGTTTTGCGGAGATCGACGCCTCCGCGCTTTCTTGCCGGGTGTGTGCCTCTCCTGCACCATCTGAAATGAAAGATCTGGAAAACCCAAGTTCTCAACTATCGCAGCACCCCCGTCACATCTGCATCGAACATGCAGCACTCAGGTCCAGTGTACTTACTTGTACAGTAGCAAGCCTTTCGTGTTGCAAGCTGTAACAAGTTCGCCACACTTTCCAAGCTTGCTCTTAATTCTCGTGTCTGTGACCATGCCCACGATTGAATGCGAGGCATGAGGTACTACTAGATCGCCAATTGTAACTAGTTATCGTGAAGTGAACTAGTTTCTAGTGCATCGAAAACACAGGGCATGAGAAAGTTTCCCGTTCCTGTCCTTTCGGACCGAGGGTGATCCTGGCCACCTGAGAATCTGAGATGTGCCTTGGCACAGATTGCAGAGGCAACTTCGGGTCATGCTGGCGACGTTTGACGAAGGACTGCGTTGAAAACAAATCGAATCAGAGGCCAGCATGTGCAGCAGCGCCACTGCTGCAAGTAATCAAATGTGGTTCCGCCTGTGCCCATCATAGGGCTGTGACTGCTCGATGGACTGTCAATTGAAGAATCCGCCGAAACTGCCACAGGGCAGATGGATGTGTTCCTCAGAAGTGAGGGTTGCTGTGACCTCTACACGTGATTTGAAACCACCCTTTTAGGGCTCTATATTACACCTCGGGACACCTCGGGGCTGACGAGTTTCACAGCCCCCTCCAGTGCGTGCTTCCCGGGTTTACAAACGGTGTCAGAGTGGCCGCAGAATTTGGACTTGCGACTGATGTCCGCGGGCCAACATGCCGCGACTGCTGCCTACGGATGACGGTGTAAGAATAAAGACAGGAGCAAAACCCTAATCCCAACCCGCGACCGTCATCCCTACAATTCCCCGACCCTAATCTGTAGACACTTCGTTTCAATTCCGAACGTCCTCGCGTGAAAGCAGCGTCCAATGCTCAAGTCTGTTCCATTCAAGAAGCATCGGACCAGTCGCTGTGGAGGGTCGGATGATAAACTGCTCAACGAAGCTCCAATGCCTCCACCTAAAGTCCAAGACCCTCGAAATACCTCAGCTCAACTTCAGCTGAATGCGGGAAGAGCTCTCTCATCTAATTGCCAAAAAGAGGACCTGCACTCTTGCAGGAAAAAACCCTGCTCAGCGCTGAGGTCTAGGTACAAGCATTGTAGGCCCCGGCCAGTGCATACCACATGCTCTCTTCCAGAGTTGCTTTGCCGGCTTTGATGAAGCTGCGGACGCTGCTGGGTGCATTGCGAAGACCGTCAAGAAACTGTCTGTGCTCCTGGCGAGTGTAGCAATTGTGGACACGGCAGGCTGTCCCGCTTTCTGGTGGCTGGGCTTGTGTTGTCTGGAGGGCGGGACTGCATCAGCGGAGTTTTTCAGCCAGCACCAGGAACAACTTCCAAATGCCGACAACGATTGCGCCTTCGGAACATAGCCCTCGAACGTCTTGACTGCCTCGCGAAGTTCTGCAGATGTGTTCCTCGCCAGCAAGTCAACCCGAAATTACCCACAGAATGCACACATGTCTCAGGCATGTCTGGTCTGTTCCACCAGCTATCCGTTGCAACGTTCACTACGAACTCACTGTTTTATGAGATCGTTAGAACTAGAACTAGGGCCGCAAAACAGGTGGGTCTCGAGAAGGCTCTTTTTCAAACACCTTGTCGTCTTTCTGCATGCCCCAGCTTGGGTTGCAATGGGTTGCGATGTCTTTCAATATTGTTCGAACCCGATATGCACATGCGAAGGCAACCTTTTTAACTGCTGCAAGACATGTAAAACTAGAACCAGAAAGAATTAATCATGCAGGAGTGGTTTTGCCATGAAAACATTCCGCGGGACAGAATTTCCGGGTGCCAAAGGAGCTTCAATTGCACAAAGATTTCAGGCAAACAATCGATATGATGCCCTCGCAAATACCCGAACATCCGCCCACGGCGCTCTGCCCTCCGCCCTCTGTCCCTTCGCCCTCGGGGAAGTAGCAATCCGACACGTCTCACTCACAGCTTTTCTGTGACATACTATGTTGGAATATCGGCTCTAGCAGCCCAATAATCCAGGCCTGATGATCTCACAGGCATACAGAAGTGTGGACTTGCCGTTGCATGACATGGTGGCAGGACTGCATTCAACGAAGGCTCCGAATCCCCAGCAATGCGTCCACTGCAGGAAGGATTGTGCTCATAGCACCAGAGGGGCCAGACAGAGAATACCTCTGGCCACACATTTCCATGGTGACCTTGGCTTGGCTGTGCACCAGGAAATCAGCTCTCAACCCTCGCTCAGCGCTGGGCTGAGGGCGGTGGGTGGGCTTCACTCCTTAGGGGTTTTAGCCTCCCGTTTAGGGTTTGATTGGTTTCTTGACCCTTTGGGGTGTTCGGCCGATTTGGTTCTGGGCTTCCGGTATGGCTTGTGGAGGGGAGCTTTGGCGTTGGTTTTACGATGTCGGCCTCGTTCATGTCGGGCTCACTCGCTGCTTACGGGTTGTGGCCCTTTGGGTTCCTGGCCAAAAGCTCTTCGGTGCATAGTCGGCTGAAGGTGAGACTTCTGCGGGATGCCGATATAGAACGACCGGAACAAGTTCACTTGTCTCTGTTTTGCCGCCCGATACCACTGTGTAGACGGCGCATGCGGAAGGCCAAAGGGTGATGTTTTCGACTTCAGGTCATGCCAGAACGCCTCTCGTTCGAGACTGTTGCAAGTGACACGAAACATGCATACAGACACCTGCGACACCAAAACAACAGATGTGATGCCCCTTCTGGTGCAGACACAGATGATTTCGCTGCTTACTTTGGCAACAACAGTCGGCCCTCTTGGTTGCAGTTTGCCAAGATGACAAACACCTGGGGACCACTGTCAAATAGTCTGCAAACAGGGTAAACACAGCAGCTGGATCATGCCCGCTACAGAGCTAGATTTGGGATAAATGCGGCTTGGTGTAGATTGTTGCATTGCGGACTGTTTCGCTGTCTGAAGGCCTCGGAAACATGCTGGGCTCATGCACTACTGATGCTTGACTACAGAGAACGGCTGTGACATGAATCAAACCTCTTCTTGTGCGGTTCGTTTTTCGAACTTGTGAAAGTGCTGCATTTTCCCGCACATAAACCTGCCGCATGAAAATGAATGGCGTCTGACGCCCAATGCCGACAACAGGACATAGGATAATCGAAAAAACGTCTGAAAGTCACACTCCTCGTCATGCCAACAACTCCCTTGACCGGTGCATGTCGGACCCCGACTGCAAATGGGCGGTGTGCCGATGATCCTTAACATGGCCTAATGAAATGAACTGCTTCATGATTCGCTTATCTTGTCCGGGAACAGCGGGATTCCAAGATTAAGCCCGCTGCAAGTCCACGTTTTGTTCCTACCCCGTCCAATGGAATATCGCGGTACACAAAGACTGCTCACTGCATGTCTGCAACGGACTAAACAAGGCCTGCAGCAACAATATTTGCAAACGATTCTCGGAAAGCAGTTCAAGCTGCGCCGAAGCCTGACCTGCGCCGAACTACAAGTTGGCCTCGAAGCCACCCGAGAGCCCGTGCTATAGAATTTTCGATAATAGCTCCACGTCTGGTGGCTACTCTCGGGCTCTATGGGACGGATGCCCTTCCAACCTGCAAGTGCGCTCAAAATTGACCGCGTATACAGGAACATACAGGAACCCTCACAAAACCGATTCTTGTACCCCAGCCTCCATTTCTGTCTTATTCGCCGTTATATCTCCAATAACTCACATTCCCTGGTGCCGACACAGTGCGAACTAATACCCTACTACATACATAAGACCTTGAGAGAAATGGCAGAGCGGTGGCAGGCCTGCATGTCCTATGTATTCCAGACGAGCTCTCCACTCTTAAGATGGGGCGTTCGGGAAAACGGGGGACAATCCCGAAACACTAGCCCTATAGGGTTGTGAACCGTCTCTGTCTGTGAAACTACTACAGAGTGCAATTTTCCGGGACGTAGGGCTTTGCTTCCCTTACCGGGTTCGTCCAGACGAGTTACATCTCCTTGCTTCTTAGAGGCTATACGGGTTCTAATAAGGCTCAGTATGCGGGTTAGTAAATTTAGTACCATGGAGCTGCCTTTCAACTCTACCTTGATAACGGAAGGACGAATCCTCAAGGCGGTTCAGACGGCGGTCTGTGTCTGTAGGTCTTGGATAAGGTTAGGGCATGATCAACACAAGCAGCCAGCTGGTTGCCAACAAAGCGACTGATGTGATGTACGGACGCAGCCGAAAAAAGAACATGAAGGGTTCGCACAGCAACTTGTGGTCGTGCGGCGACCGCGCAAACATGATGGGAAGGCACACAGAAGCCAGCCTGTCGCAGATCGATGCTGCAGCACAACTGTAGCAAGAAACAGAGATTTTTCGATTGTCGATTGTCAGACACTAGCAGTAGCAGTCGCTACTGACAAGATCGTGAGAGATGGGAGAAAAATCAGCAGAACTCCTCCTGCACTGCAGGCCAGTGTCAAAACAGGGATGGATACGTGCCAAGGCCACCCATGCCTCCACAGTGCCTCCTCCAGCAAGTGCAGCTCTTGCAGCAAGTTGTGCAGGTCGTTGTTGCCTAAGACTGCGGATTGTAAGCAGTACATGCAGCATGCTGACGGGAAGCTCCTCAACCAAGTGATTACCGACATGTTATCAGCGAGACCAGCGGGTCAGCTTACGCACAGTCTGGAAGTCCTCGCGATTTGAAATTGTCGCCGTGAACGTGCGATCCGTGGATTCTCAATCAAATGCTTTGGCACCGGAATACTTGTTACTCCTTTGCACAGAAGCCAGAGAGTAGAGGAGGGTGACACTATTCTATGGACTCACCTGACACCCCGATGCCCGATCATCTGCCATAATCTGCCATACACACGATTGTCCGGCTGCAGCACAGCACAACAATCAAAACTTGCTGCAGCCTCTGCTTGAAAGAGACAAGAAGGCTTCTGTTGTAAAACAATCCTTCAGGCAATGAGAGGCAAAGGTTGAGAGATACTTCACTGGGGTCGCTCCTTGGCTTTGCAAACTGGTCTTGCAGAGCTAGGTGGAAGTGAACAACCAGTCAGTGGCGAGTTGCGCATTGCTGCGGAAATCGATTTCAGGGCACCAGCCACATGTCCGCCTTCCGATTCGATGATGATGTGCGTCTTGAAAAACCACTCCTCAAGCCGAAGACGGGGCAGATTCTTTGACAACTTTTGGCTCTGGCGATTCTCGACATGTGCTGTGTACGACAACTGGGGAAGACACCTTCAGCACCCTGTCTTTTCGAGAAGCTACAGCTCACGTGGGACTCGCGTCGAGTGGTCGTCTCTTCCGATTGCAACCGTGTTCGGCGGCCTCGTCGATCAGGCCCGTGAAGCGGCGGAGTAAGCGCACATTCGACGGCTTGATGGGCCCTTTCGGATCCAATCGTTCCCAGTTGTTCAGTACCTGACAGGACAATCGGGACGGTATGTCCTCAAAAGCTGATTTGTGTCTTCCCACGAAACACAAGCCCTGTAAAATGGGTATCACGCACATCTGCAGTAGCAAGTTAGGCAGCTAGGCCTTCGCTACAGTAGTCTTTTTGCTCAAGCACTGAACCATCCTGGGTGTACCCATCGTCCCTTGCAGACTTCTTCTGGCTGGGTTGTCTGAGATCAGGACGCAGCCGGCATAGTCCAACATCGGCTGCCGATCCAATCTGCGACTAACCTGCTTGGCATGGCAAGCACAATCCCGCAGGCTTGTTTGGGAAAGCTGCCGCAGCCCTAGAAAACACGCGGTACAGGATTAAGTTCAGGAGTCAATGTGAGCGTCGGGGATACTTATGCTGGAACACATTGGCGTGCTGTGACTCTCCTTCTGCCTGTCCTCAGGAAACTTCGAATTCAATTGTTGTCCGAACCTGCTTGCATATGATTGCCAGCTTGTAGGTTACATCCATGCCTCTTTGACGTGACGAAGCTGAAATCGTACGCGTTTCACTTGTACTTTGCTCGCAGGCGGAGCGGCTTTGTCCGGCGTGTGGTCGCCATGACAGCTTCAGCAGCTAGGCATTACTGCTTAACAACTCTGGAAACGATGCGAGCAGCCATGTGCAAAAGGCCAGCTAAGCATCCAACGTCGTGCAAACACCAACTGAGGACTCTCCAAGCAACTCCTAGATATGGAGCAGCCAGCCAGTCCGGCAGCTTCGTGATTTCTTCAGACGTACCTGGTGCAGCGTGAAGAGCTTCTGAAAGCTGGTTGCCGCTTTCAGCCATGACGGGCCAAATCATGCCGTACAGCCGAAACGACACAGGAATGCTAGAATCGTGCGTTTCTGATTGCATCCAAGAGCACCGACAATATTGAAAGCAACATTTTTCTCGTAGACATCCACAACGCTGTGGACCTGAGCACCGATGCATGGGGTTGTCCCAGTCTTGGAGAACTGTGCTCTGCAGGGCCCGGGCCTTTACGGGCTTCTGCAGGCCTCGGGGCCCACTTCCGAGCCCTACCCGCCAGCTCTGCAGGCTGAGTGCTGCCAGTGCTATTCCTACTCCTGCTAATACTGCTGCTGCTGCTACTACTACTACTACTACTACTACTCCTGCTACTACTACTACTACTACCACTACCACTACCACTACCACTACCACTACCACTACGACTCCTACTCCTACTCCTACTCCTACTCCTACTCCTACTCCTACTCCTACTCCTACTCCTACTCCTACTCCTACTCCTAAACTACTACAACAACAACTACTACTACTTTTAATTTTCGACTTTGATTCGCAGCGTCGTCAGGCAACACTAAGCGTCCGAAAAGACCAGTTCTGATGAACCGGTTGCTTCACACAGTTCAGTGATCGCAGCTGTGCACGTTCGGCACCGTCAGCTATGATGTGACATGCAATTGTGTTCAAAGACACGTTCAAAAGCGAAAGCCGCAGCCCCGTACCGAAGTACCAAGCAGGCTGCAGGACTGCTCAAGGCCGATTGGCCCCCTCCAAATGCGAAAAGCTGTCCAATCTTCTAAGACCGACAAGATAACCACCAGAGTTGATTAAATCGTTGGATGTAGTGGAGATCTGCAACTTGCTATTATCATCCGACAGGTGAAAAACATGCTGGTTCGTTGTCGGGTCTGAGCCGCTCAGAGCCGAACGATAGTGGCCAGCCTTGATAGTGTCACCGATGTGAAATACAACACCCATGACGACGTAGGCAACGATGGTCATCGAGAGCCCAGCATTGCTGTCAAAGCTGGGGATTCTAACCAGTTCACCTGCGCAGATTGTGACACTTTGTGTATCTTTGATGACACCCGTTGAGGAATCATCATCCATCCGGAAACGCTTTAGTGCCAATAGCAGAAGCAAAGGAGCCTGTGCAAGGGCATGGGTATTCGCCTGAGTGTGCCAGGAGTAGACACAACGCTGAAGTGTTGGCCCAGTTAAGTCAATGACAATCGGAGAAAAGCACGCACCTGAGTCAAGAATTCGGATTGTAGGAGGAGAGCCCTCGTGAATCAACCGAGCTTCCCAATGTCCCTGATAAGCCTCCGGCCGCGCAAAATCGAGCAGAAAGGAAGCGAATTCTGAAACATCCTGTTGCTGATGTACATTCTGCCACTGAGATAACGCTTGTCGCCAGGGTAGGAGAGACAACAAGTGCGTCGAACCTTGCTTCAGAAGAATGCGTATAGCCGTGGAAAGCCTGCCATGAGAAAACGAGTCAGATAGGCCACTGCCCATCCAATGCTGCAAATGACACCATGAATTAATATAACAAACATTCGAAGAATTTCGGAGAATGAATCCTGTAGGTGCTCCCAGCCTGGCAGGGAGGTTCAGCTGTCCTGCTTGTTCTCCTCCACCTCCATTGCTGCCTTGTCTTTCTGAGCCGAATCTGCCAGGATCGGTGCAGGGCTCGCTGGAGCAGCTTGGGATGGCGGCTTCCTTTGCAGACGTGGCTGTGGATCGGACGGTGGGAAGCGCTCCGCCAATACTTTGGCCAACGGTTGACGATCCATCTTCGTCGGCCGCAAGCGAAGGCCAAGCACTTTGCTGGCTGCACAACCACAAAGGTTGGTTAGCATCCCCCTGCCTGCGAGGCCCTCGGGTCTCGTAGCCCAATCGAAAGGAGAAACGTCACCGTCTCATTCCGCCATGCGCCGGGTTGAATGGAATTTCAGCAGGGCATTCCCTGTGGGATCTCCGCATAGCCCTGGGCTATCACCTGGTTCCTCAGAGCTTCGTCCGACTCCAACACCCGCATTCTCCCGTGCCACATCTGCAGCACTGCAATGAATAAGGTCTTGCGCAGGGAGCAGTCGACCAAGTTCTGCTCCTTCTTCTCCTTCCAAACCATTGCAATCTTGTACATCTTTGGAAGGGCCGCTCCCGACCTCGTCTCGAAGGTAAGAATGAAGTCCCGCTCTGTTCAAATTTGAGAAAGCTCGTCCTCGTGCCGAAGGCACAGACGAGTGAGCATCTTTATGCTCTCCTCCATTTTGTCCTCGAATTGTTGGTCGCGGTCGCGGTTCTCCCTCCGACCCCAGGACTGTTGGCCTCGCTGATTGTTCCACCCTCGGCGGTTGCCGTTTCCTCCTGGGCCATTGTAAGACTGATTGCCCCATCCGCCTTGTCTGTAGCCCTGGGCTGGTAGTTGTCGCTCCTGCCCCTGCTTCCTCCTCCGTCACGGTTGCAGCCGGTTCCGCTTGCTTGGAAGAGGGCATTCCTTTCCCATGTCCTCGTCCTTTGGACGTCGGTCGAGGATATTTTGGCTGGCGATCGGCCGTCCCTGATGCTCCCGTCGCAGCTACCTGGTCCGTCTCTGTGGTCTCCCTTTTTCCCAGGGCCTGTGCTGTTGCCACCGGACCAATGTCCTGAAACATCTCCTTCACTTCCTCCGCCGGGGTCATGGCGTTCCTGAGCAAAGGAAATCGGCCTTTGCTGCAAATCACTAGGCTTCAGGCCCTTACGGACGTAGCATAAATGCTGCAGCAATGTGCAACTGTGACGCTGTTTGAAGACTGCTCCACAGATGCCACAAGGACTGGTGATGCAGCTGGAACAACTTGACAGACCGAGCGAACATCTGTCCGAGTCTTATAATCGTTGGGGTGGGCCGACTTGAGGTGATTCTCCAGGGAGCCACTGCGATCTGATATCCACTGGCCACAAAAGGCACAATGACTTAGAAGCAGTTCTTTGATGTAAGGAACTTTGATCAGTTTATACCACTGAGGTCCCTGGAGTATCTCCATTTGCTCCGGATCAGCTTTAATTTGCTTAAGGAGAGGCTCCGCGGCGGACCGCTGAGCAAGCCTCTCTGTTTCATCATCAGGCTTCTCAATATGATCAGGCCTGGTTGCATCAGCCGGTGTGCCTAGCTTGGTCGTTGAAAGTCCAGGACAGGCATTCAATATGTGTGAACGAAATTCCTGCCAACCAGAGAGTCCAAGCCCGCAATGCGTGCATACCGGCATACCATCAACACAATGTGCAGAGATGTCCAATGTTTTAAAGGCTGAAGAACGTTTATCAATCTGCTGAGAGAGTTTTGTGCCATGTTTTCGACTGTGGTGGATCTTCATAATCTGCCGTGGGGGGAAGTAGATTCCACATGTGGGACACGCACAAGAGGCTAGCACACCATCCAACTCCCAAACGCGTGCAGCGGAGTCGAGCACGTTGCTGTTGTAGTCGTTGTTGGCAAATCGCGCTGCTTCTGTGTGGTGGTACCGCCTAGCTTCAGGAAGACCTGTCGGATACTGTTAACTTGAAGCCGCTTGAAAAGTTGCTCGGCGGGCTCTCTAGTATGGTGTACCGGCGATTTGGCTACAGCTCGAACGTACTTGATGTCCCTGCGATGGAGCTGCCTTAGGTCCTTGTCCGAAAGACCAATGGTCGTTAATCCATGCAAAAAGGTTGCGCGAATGCAGGCAGCATAGATTTGCAGTCTTTGCCTCATGCTTAGGTACTTCGAGCAGTGCAACACCTTGGCCAAGCGCTGTCTCGCTAGACCGGCAGCCTTTAGTCTGTGCTGAAGGGAGGCCTGCTCAAAATTCTGATAAGACACCATGATACCTAAATACTTGGCTTGCTTGGAGATCGGAACCGAAACATAGCTTGTACCATGTTGAAACATGAACACACGTTTGCCGTCTTGCAGGTGGATATGTTGTTTAAGCCACTTTGCGCCGTGAGTTCCACCAAGCTTGATGATAAGCGTGGACTTGTCTGGATTTATTCGCATCCCGTATCTCCGGTAGACATCAAAGACCGCCAGGGCACTCTTGATCATAAAATTCAAGTCCTGTTCTGACTGTAGTCGCCAAGCACAGTGCGTGTCATCTGCATAAAGCGTCATCTGCTCCCTAGGCCAGGAACTTTCAAGTGCTTCCTCTATCTGCCTTAATAGAAAAACACTGTAGAGCGACCAAAGGATGGGTGCCAAAGTGCATCCTTGGAGAACTCCATTCTTCATGTCTATAAAGGATTCAAAGCCCTCATGAACAACATGATATCGGCACACACAGTGAATGTCTATTATGATGGAGATCAAATTGGAAGGCACCCGCGCCCATTGCAAAGCCGACAACGGTGCACTGCGAGGCATTCGATCGAAAGCTGCCGACATATCCAGGAGCAGTTGGGCCCCTCCATTGTATTTGCTTCTTTGGCGCCCTTCGC